CTTGTCGTCATTTCTTATCAGGCCGGAATACTTGAAACGGTATGTATGCAGAGTTCGGTTGTGTGCTGTGCTTGTTGACCATAGAGGTTCACCTTCCCCTGCCTCAAAATAGGTACCATCCCTCCCCATATTGTGCTTTATCACTTGATTTGTGTACCTTGTGAGTTTTAACTCCGACCACGCACTGGCTTTGTACCAAGTTGACTTTGCGATTTAGTGTCCGCAAAATAGATGAGATGCAAATAGCTTGACGTTGCCAAACTTTCCAACCCGACCGTGCCGGCCGACTACCAAAACCAGTTTGCCGTAAGGCTAACTACTACCATACTAAGGAGTCTAGACCACAACTGGACAACTACTCAGAACGCAACGCACTCAACTAGTTTACACAGTTTGGGCCGAACCCACCAAGTTGTAAGGCACTGTCTCCGACTCTCTCCGACTTCTTGATGCACCTTTACGGTGATGTGCCAGTGACTCCTGATCCATCCTCACCATCCATCAACAACATTTGGCAACAGCCGAGGTAGCAGTCATCTGTCTGTTCGATCCATCACTTTGTTCCCAAAAGTGATCTGTCAAAGTGCTTCAACTGCCATGGCCGTGGTGTGAATTCAGTCCCATGACTGGAGAGGACTCTTTCCATGACCCTGTGACCCGATCCAGAAATGGTTAACCTTGGCTCGTGCCTCATCCCTATTTCTATCCACTCAACACTCATTTTTGTGCAAACCACACAATCTGCTCGTGTTATATCTACCGATCGAATTCCTACACGTCAAACGTTATCCAAATTTCATGTACCTGTTACCGCTTTGTATAAGTATATGAGCCAGAAGACGAATTTATCGGAGATGAACTTAAGCTCGTTCGCCATGTCGTGTTTTGTCAATCGGTAGAATGAAAATCGTCAGTGAATTACTTCCCTTGGTTAAATTATCATTCCTTTTCAGCCACTACCATTACCGTTCTTGAAAGAAGTAACTGTGAAGCGTAAGGTACTGTGATACAGATTAAATCTTGTGCAATGGATGTCAGCCCATTTCGCAAACGCGTCTCAAAATTGGGCGATTGCGCCCTGGTAATAACTGGGAAAGCAGAAGCCAAAGCAATAACATTAGTCGCAAACCATGTAGACCAGACTCGGTTTGGTGCGTTGCGACACAAAGATTGTTGTGATCGAATCTACGGCTCGAAGGTAAGTGCAGCTTTCAGTTTATACAACCCGTCAACCTTATGGTATTATTTGTGTTGGGTCCGCCAAATTCCATGCAGTTTTCATGATCTTGAGAACACAAACTCAGACAAGAAATATCGTAATGTTTTTGCTTTATGGCGCACCCACGGAGTTTGAAATTCTCATAAAAAATGTAAATTTTTTGAAGAATTGAGGGTACTCATGCGTATCACACCCGCTATATCTTAAATCGAGTTCCGGATGTTTGCGATCCTTGACTTCTTTAGAGCGTATTCTTTCGAACCTTCTGACTCGCAAATACTCGTTTGTGGAACTCGGACTTCGCGGTCCAACATCTAAATCAGAAAGATTATCGGGAACACCAGTTGACGTTACATCGCCGGGCTAATTTGTTGGGTTGAACTGCACCTAATCATTATGTCGTCTGCTTGTTGACAGATCATCCAAATCTAGTGTATTGATCATTCTTTATCTACCGCGTGGAGGTCAGCAAGTGACGTGGAGATAAGGCATGAATAAATGCACAGAGCTTTTAAGTGGAATAGGTCTCTCGCGCCTTTCAGATTGGGGTCCAAAAGACTTTTCAGCTGGTTGATTGGAGACATTAAATGATTTGGAAGCAAACCGAAAGCAGTGGCGCTCTTGTTGTCATTTCTTATTAGGTCAGAACACTTGAAACGGTATGTATGCAGAGTTCAATTACGTACTCTGTTTGTTTACCATAAAGGTTCACTTTTCCCCCTCAAAATAGGCCCAATCTCTGTCCATCCTATACACTACCGCTAACCTTGTATGCAATGCAAGTTTGGCAGCGATTAGTGAAGTTCGTTTCACTGGATTTCGCTGTGCGATGATGATCAGTAACCTGGTCCAGACGCATTGTGACATTTATTCTTGTATCTTCGTTTCGGTGGCCGTTTCTGTTTGTACTGACCAGCGTACATTTTCAAGAGCATTTTCAGCTTCAGTTTGAACAACCATTAACCACGCATATTCGTGCGCCGGTTTTAGTTCCTGTCTTTTGGCCGCCAATTTGGATGAAGAATAGCAGAAAAAAGGAAAATTAAAAGTGGAGTCGAAAAGAAAATGGAGAAGTTCGGTGGTCTAAGGTTGCAAAGAGATTGAGAAGATACACGAACGCCACTGGTTGCGACACCCAACCATATCGCTCAGTGTCCCTAACCATCGGTTACGATCATCCCGAGGTCCCCAGCCAGGGAGCCTAACAGGGCGTATATGACCTAGTCTCCTGGTTAGGGTTTTCATAACCTCGTGCCACGTCTTAGCTTGACCACCCTTGGCTTTTTTCCACTCGGTGTCTACTTCGCTCGCCGTGGTAACCTATCTGGTGACATGCGTAACACATGCCCCAACCAACGTAATCTATGGAGTTCGACCACTTGCTCCAGTGGGCGACCGCGGATACCCAAAACTCTGTTCTTAACCTCAGCATTTCTCATCCGGCTACCCCACCAGATTTGTGCAATCGCGATCTCTTTATATTAACAGCCGAAACCGAGTCCGAGCTTACGGCACTTTTGCACCCGAGTTCACTACATAAGGTTGTGTTCGACAGGGTCGCCCTCTTTCTTTTTATATTCAGTTTTGTCATAGATGTAATTGTATTGTATTTTATCGTATTTTAAATGACTTGTGCAGGCAACTGTGTCTACAGTTCAGTCAAAACTATGTTCACCGTTAACAATAACTATAAAATGAAAATTCATGTCTAACAATGATAAAACTTAAACAGTGTTCATATTCGCAGGTTTAAAATTAGTTCGTTATGGATCTTCATCGTGTCAGTGAGAATACGAGCCAGATAAGGATAAATGTTTATGCGGGAGGGCAAGCAACGAAAATTGGATCGAGTTATGTTGTGGGATCGCCAAGCAGATGAATCGGGATTGAGCGGATGACTGGGGTCATTAAATATCTTATGAGCGAAATTTTCTCATGAAGTCATACGCAAATTAAATAATTTTGTAACCAGAGTGTTTAAAGGAATAAGAGAAACACGGCTGATAATTACGAAACTGCAACGAAGACTAATGAAACCCTTTCTTAGTAGTCCAGAGGAAATAACGGGAGAACAATAAAGTATGACAGGAAAAATGCATTGATAAACAAAGGAACATAAAGTTTCATGCTTCATTCAAAATTGCCGCAGCTTGCGTATTTGAAAAGATAAGCGACGCAGCCTACCAATACAAGCTAGCACATGAGAGGACCACCGTAGATTGCTTTTTGTGGTGACTTCTAGGTATTTAGTGTTATGTGTTCCGGTGATGAGTACAGAATTGATGACTGAGGGTTCCGAGGGATATCCGGATCGGGAAAGACTAAAAATGCATTCAAAGCGTTTAGAAGTATTTAACCGGAGACCTGATTGGTTCGAAAATGATTGCACTTGTAATAAACTGTCGGAAAATAATTCTGTCAGATTGATTTGAAATGGCCTGATATTGAAACAGCCCTATCTTCGTGCGACGATAGTGGTATCGATTTACTCTCAGGTGGCAGACTGACTGATCTCGAGCATGCAGACCACATGGTGCTACTAAGTGAAGATCCAGGTAACTTTTAAACTTTTCTAACCTGTCAGGGCCTTATGTGGTTCACCACTCCAAGTCTCGGAGCTTAAGTTACTGGTTTTTATCACTGAACAGCAAGTTCTCGTGACTATGGGGTTTACCGCGTCCCTGCTCATTACACGAAAACTTGTAAAAAGAAGTTTGAGTGCTAGTGTAGCCATGTTCGGTATGCGTTTTGCACTTTCAAAGTGTGAAATGCTGTTACAAGATTGGGTTATTCCAGCCGCTCAACCTCACCCTAACTGGAGAAGTAGTAGATGAAGTGGACAATTTTTGCTATCTGGGCAGCTGTATTTCACCTGGCGGACGCATCACAGATGAAGTGTTGGCTCGCATACAAAAGGGTTGGTTGGCATTTGCTAACTTGAGACATCTATGGCGCCGTCGCAACACCCGGCTGTCTGTGAAGGGTCGTGTGTACGCCGCAGCAGTTCGGCCAGTCTTGTTCTACGGTACAGAAACTGGGCCACTACGGGAACAGGATAAAAATAGACTGTCTACGTCGCATTGCACGAGTCTGGTGGCCTAACCGAGTGAATACTGTTGAGATTAGGCGCAGGGTTTTAGGTAGTCGCGGTTGTCCACTGGAGCAACTAGTCGACCTCCATATGTTACGTTGGTTGGGACGTGTGTTGCTCACCTCACCGAAACGGTTGCCATGGCGGTCGATGTTTTGCCGAGGCAAGTAGCGGTTGGAAAAATGTCAAGCGTGGTCAAACTGAAATCTGGCATGAGGGTGTGAAAATCCTAACAGGACACTGGATCATATAGATCCCGTTAGTCTCCCCGGGCGAGGACCTCGAGATCATGGTAACCGATGGTTAGAGACATATATGGCCGGGTGTCGCTTATACATTTATTCAATAATCTCTCAACCCCAGTCTGTATGAATTCTGTATCTTCACTTTGACTCTGATCTCACTATTCTAATCTTCATTTTGCTCGTTCGTTCAAATGGCTGGCAAAAAGACAGCAACCAAAACAGGCGCACGAAAGTACATGGTTAATAGTGGTAAAAACTAAAACTGAAACAAACCCGTGGGCTAGTACTGAGATGAGCCAGACGCGGTGTCCGCATCAAGCTCGGAAAGACGGGTTGTGCTATATCATTTAAGTGGAGAATGAAAAAGTGACCGAAATTGCGGTTGAAGTTGTGCTACGGACATCAAGATTCGAATTTCGGCCCCTATTATTAGCACTGTGTTTTGATGGTGGGTAGCTTCGCTGTCACCAGCATCATTATATTTTACACTTATCTGAGCCCAGACTACGTGCCATCCAAGTCATAGTACAACAACCTTTGCAACAAAGAAATGGATATATGATTTTTCGCAGGAGGGATATTGCAAAGTTGTCCAGGCCATAGGAGATGAATTTCCTTGAAGGACTCACAACCTTAGGCTAGTGAAAGCCTGACCTTCAAGTCAGTGGGACGGTGTGTGGACATCGTAATCCTTCTGGGGTTGGGGTCCAGTTGATGGGATCTAAAGTCCGAAATGTCCACTGCGCCCCTGTACCCAATCAAGTCGGTGTCCACTGATAAAAGCAGAAAGATGTAAGTACGGTTCGTATGCCGCTTTCTCGAAACCTGTAGACTCCACTTTCGCTCATTAGTACTTCATTTCCACTGCCACCTCCAGGATTTGAACTCCTAAGCTGTAGAACGGATGGCGTGTGACCATTGTGCCAACTAGCTTGTGCTATATCGCATCTATCCGACTATCACCTTACGTAGTTCGTTATCTCAAGTCCCGGTGCTTAGGTAGGCAGTTCCTACAAAAGAACAATAGGTCTTCCTGACCATGGATACTACTGTTCATCATACCAAAGTTGGCCATAAAAATGTCAGAAAACAGCGAAGGTCAGGTGGCTCCGTAGTTAAAAAAATTTGGGGATAAAAACCATGAAAATTCAGCGGTAAGATATCCGAGGAGAGCTCGCTCTCACGCTTGACAATCTATTGAAAAAAAGATAGTACCGATACAACTTGGATAAAAAACGATCTTCTGGAAGTAGAGTAGTAAGTCTAGTTTACCTTGTAAGGTTATGCCGCTGGTCGGAACTAAAGAAAAAAGGAATGCAAATGTATGATGCTCGCCCCAATTTAATTGCAGTTGTTCGAATGTTGATATGTATGATATGCTAAAACGTGTGCGGAAGCAAAAGGCGAAGCGTGGACTTTGGGCATAAGAAATTTTTTAATGTGCCAATTCGTTGCTTCCCAGTATGCAAACAGTTCAATAATTTCAATAAATCCATTCTATTTTTTTCACTTTCGCCATCCTGCGTTTCAGGTTTCCACTTCACGCGGTCACGTGCACATGCTTGCTTTCGATCCAGTTCTTTGGTCATACAGCTTACCACATCGTACTCAAATAATATACCCCCCAGACGCAAGCTTGATTGTGGGCGGATTAGATTTACTCCCGGGAAAGTGTGTGATGGAAGCTGGAACGGGAAGTGGTTCATTGACGCATTTTCTCGCGCAGGCTATTTGGCCAACAGGTCGCGTTCGTTCTTTCGAGTTTCATCTTGGTCGTGTTGGGCGAGCAATTGAGGAATTCCAAGTACGTTGTAATTTGCTTTGACCAATGAACTGAACTTACCTGGAATCGGGACCAGGGTGATCACTGACGCTCTGGCTTCAGGTGAAGGCTCCCCTTTGCACTGTGGAGGTTTGAATCCTGCAACTATCCCTGATCTGGCTCATAGTTTTTTCTAGTAGGGAGGTCATCGGATCATCCCTTTCGGGCGGTAGTGACACGGTTTTTAAGACACCAAACTATCACCCCGGCGGACGTGTGTTCATATCCCATCACCTCCGCCTGACTTTCCCCATTGTCTTGTCTGGCAGCCCTTTGATTGTCCGCTTCCCCTTTATTGAAAATTTTGTCAGTGTATATTCATAAATAGGAATTGAAAATGGGAAAAATGAAGATGATCTACAGTCTACCGACAGTTTCTAATTCTTACCACATTCTTAATTCCGGTGTGTACTTTTAAGCGCTTGATTGCGGCCCGAGAATGTGTTGTTGCTCCGAGATTGGGATTAGGCACTCCCGTGACAGCCATAGTGGTTTGCTATTCGCACTTACTGACGGGCACAGCCATGTTTCCATCCCAGTGGAGTAAATATACTTTGAGTTAAACATCTGTTGGAACAGCCCTACTCATTGCTTTACTATGTTCATGGTGTTTTTTTATTAGAGTGAGAGAATGAAATCCCCAAATCCGATGCTATATATACCAATCTTTACAGATGTGGTGCGATACATCCTAGTAGATTCGTAAAGCTGACTTGCATCGCCTATCTCCAAGCAGCGTTGCTTTCGGTGCATACCCCGTGTGTGGTGGCAGCATCGTGTAACTAATGAGAAAGTACGGTAACTTGTCTCTAATCAAAATAACCAGTTAGTTGAGAAGGTAATTCTATCGCATCAATTATGGGGTTTCGGACACGTGCTGTTCATTTTCAATTAGTACTTGCCGCGCGGTTATTTATTTGTGGTCGCTGGACAGGATTGAAATAAATGATGTAGTGGACAACCTACTACATGACGAATTTATACCAAGCAGCTTACGAAAAGTGCAGCGCCAGTCAGCCCTTCAAGACTTCCAGAATGGGAACCCGCTGACGCGTGATGTCGCTGGTTGAAGACTTTAGAGAAGATGATGAGAAACCATTGCAGTGGCTTGCTCCAAAGCTGTGTCTAAATCAAAGTAAAAAAGAAACAGCATAACGCCACAGTAGTAAAAACCCTGCGAGTGAAAACCAAACAGAAATCCCTGTTTTTCCTCTTTTCTTGTATCATTTTTTTCCTAGCTTGTCATGATTCTGTCGATATCCTATTTGTACTCGGATAGTATTTTATGTATGCATATGTATATGTTGATAAGGTTGTTTCTCAACCATTTCGTCGTCTGAATTCTGCTCCTTTTTCACCTTTTATCGCAATGCCCTTAAATTCTCATTGTCCGCATTTCTCATTCACATGTCTACTCGGATCTGTCTCACATTTCTCACAACAGTCCCACGAACTGTCGAACGTGGTCAGCGTCACCCATCGGGATGTGTGCGCTGACGGTTTCCCACCTCTCGGTGACCCGGCCAATCCAGATGGTGTGGATGCGGTCAGTTTAGATTTGCCTCAACCGTGGCTTGTTATCCCTTCGTTGCCTAGTGTTTTTCGCACGGATTGTGGTACGTTTCTGGATAAACATGAGCAAGTTAGATACTACAATGTGCAGTTGCATATAATGGGATTTGTGCACGAATAAAAAGTTGTCTCTGGTGATGTCATATACTATGATCGTTTACTCAATATATGATTCTAGAGTGGTGTTATTAATTTTGACAGAGAAATGACCAGAACGTGATTCATTATCTCATATGACCATTCTGAATGGATTAGTACGCGCCCTGAAGGTCGATATCCAGTGACTTCTGGATATCCCAAGTGCGTTGACTTTTCTACATAATGTGCTGTGATTCAAATCACGGGTGCTGATTCTTCGTATTAGGCTAGATGAGCTGATTGTACGAGGCCCTCAGTTTTCATTATCGTACTCGCTCATCTGTTACCATGAATAAAGAGCACATATCCCGAACTTTTTATCTCACTCTCATTTCCCGTGTACCACCATTTGAATGGGCGCGATCTTGGTAATCAGGGTACAATGTGAAGTGATTCGGAAAAAATAGCACAAAGTAATAAAACATTTGGCATGATGCAAAGCAAAGATTCATTCTTTCCGGTAAATGAATGCTGTTTCATGTAAATGTTTATTCTGGTCTATCTAAGTGTTCCAAATAGAATATTTTTCCATAAGATGGAAGGTAACTTTACACGCTGCATACGCAAAATTTATCTACCTTAAGGTATGCGTCTCGTTGAGTAAGCATTTTGTAATGTCCAATGCCCAAACCAGTTAAAATAGCCAAGCGTTAGTGGTGTAAAAGTGAAACAAAGGGGCAACTTTTGAGAAAGACTCATAGATCCGGTATCTCAGTCCATAACTTGTGCATCTGTTTTGAACAGATTACACAACGACACTTCAGGTTCGTTGCCAGCTCCGTCAGGCTATGCGAATGGATCACTAGGTCCCGGTGGCTGCTAAGCTTTCAGCAGATCCAGGTCTAAGATAGCTTCCCCGATTATAAATGGCGTCCAATCTGGGGCCGTGTCTGCGCTCAGTGAATGTGGCGACGGATCGGGGTCTGGGGAATACACTGAGGCGGAATGCAATGCAAAACTCGCGGTTTTTTCCTATCTCTGATGAGAGTCTGGAGGCCCAGTGTAGTTCTGATCCGGCACCTGAAGTAGGCCTACAGCCGCTTTGGTGCCTGTACAGAATCCGTTGAAAGGCCTTGCTCGAATAGAGTCCTCTTGCTTTTCTTCAGTGCGGTACACTGGTTCCGAATGATTCGGTACTCCTCATATCCCGTACCTGTCCCACGATACCTTAACCAAGGTTTGTTTCGCTGCCGGAGGCATCTCCACAGTTCCCGTTCTAACCACGGCGGGCCCATGGCGTGTGTTCGGTGCCGGTAGAGTTGAGAGAATTCCTGCACAAGGTTTTAGATCCGGTGACAAACCAACTCCCGGGAATCATTCACATCCTCACGTTTAAGGGAATCCTATGTCATGAGCACCGTAGCTTGACGCATCTCCAGAAAGGATAATGATTTTGGTTTCACTGCAATTCCCGTATGTTTCATTTTCTCACAATCAAAGTTGCTTCCAGCGCAAATATGTAAGTTCCATCCGGTCCATCTGATGACCGTTACTTAAATTTGTTTACTTTTCTATTGTATTCCGCAATAATCATCTCACACTTCACCTGCCCCTCCTGCACGTCGCCGTTGCTCCGCAGATGGACGCGTGTGTTCATTTTCTCCCTGCATTGAACAGGTTCAACGCACGGCTTTAGCTCTGAAGAAAGCCGGCTTTGTGCACATACAGACAATGGAGTGTTTACAACGCAACTATGATGTGGTGCGCGCCGTGATGAATGTTCCGAATCTGGGTAGGTTGCATTTCGAATGAGCCATTCCGTCCTTGTACTGACCCTTGAAGACATGTAAGTGTATATTTCAGTCGCCAATCTCTTTTGTTACGTGAATCAATAAGGAGACGCATCTCGATCGTTTCCCAATAATTGCATGCAAAAATTCTTTAGGATTGCTCAAACTCGGCTACAGTTTCACTCGTTCGACCGAATAACTTGCCTATCCTCGTACACAGTCTGGACTCAGACGTGTGCGTGAAATATAACATTAATATACAATCCCAATGAGGTCTTTTGTCGTTTGCGACTCCAAGTCCCCGTGGTGAACAATAGAGATCGTGGAGTTAGCCCCTTCTGCTTTTCACAACGCATTCGTGTGTAATAGAAAATTGTGTATTGGTGTGATGGAAATCAAACCTAGTCGCAAAATTGCAACCGATAGCGATTAAATTAGAACTGACGGTGGGTGGTTTGATTACCGTGAATTTGAAACGCTCACTTTCGATATAAGAAATGAAACACACTTATGTGGATCGTTTGTCTGTTGGAGTAAAGCAAGCACATCCATAGAGATGGTTAGCGGAATTCCCGGACTAAGTGGACGGCTAATCCTAGGTGGACAGAGGGAGATGATGCATTGACAGAACTGCAAACGGGCATGTGTGTTTTATCAACGGCAGGGTAAATCAATGCGGCTCTCGAAAGTACTTAAATGAGTTGGAAATGTTTGTGATAGCCGACAAAGAGCACTGAACAGCTGTTTTAACCCATTCGGGACTCGTCAGCAGTGTGTACGTTTTGCGTCCCTGTCAGGACTCAAACCGTGAACCTTCGGGTTGGGACTTCAAAATCCTACTTATTTGACTAAGTGACTATTGCCATGGTTATAGTTATGGTTATTCAAGTTCACCACCTTATCGCATACAATTTGAAATCGAAGTAGAATATGTTCAAACGGAAATCAATATTGACGCGTCTGTGTTAAGAATAGCAAGAATCTACCCTAGTTTACTAGCCGCCAATCCAATTTGAAAACATACACAGGTCGGGCATTCCCGGTTAATGTGTTGTTGATTTGCATTTACATGGCAAGAAACGTATAATTCCAGTTTGTCCTGAATGAATAGGTATGAGATAGGAGAACACATTAGATGAAAAGAGAAGGGACCAGAACAAGGAGTGTGACTTTGGAGATTCATAAGTTGATCAGTGTGGTATAATTTCACAAGGCGGTGCTCGGTCAGGGAAAGTTGTTTATTGCAGATAACAGTTATGATATGTTGAGATGCAGCGAAATCGTCCTGGACGTAAATCGTGCGGTATTGCAATATGATCTTTTCTCTTCAAATTGATCTCGGAAAAGGCTTGCTTCAATTAGGATATCACTAATTTAACGTACACATAACATAAATCTCACTTGAAACATATCATCGCAGGTCCTGGCAACACAAGGGGTAATAAACGAAGCAGTCGGTAGCTGCTGTATGAGGCAGCAATTTGCCTTCGGTGGTCTTGTTAATTTATTGTCGCTGAAGGAAACCACCAACCACACCATTTTGCATACTACTCAAAAATGTGAGTAGTACCCCACAACACCCCTCGGCGAAACGGATCTCTACATGCCGCGACCAATAAGCGATTGTTTCTTGGATTGTGTTCGTGTTTTTCTCCGGTTTTCAACGTCGGTCAGCGGCGTGCTTGATTTTATGTACTGGGATTCTGGAGTTTATTTTGTTGGTTTATATCGTGTGTTGTACATTTCTTCGAGTCATACTGCGAGATCGTTTTGATGTACAGGACGGGCTTCGTTCATACGTTGAATTTCGTACACGGGATGGCGTTCTTCAACTATGCGGTATGGACCTTTCCATCTGGGAAGTAACTTCTTCGAGCCAGGGCCGCTGGTGAAACCCTGATATGTAGACCCTATTTTTCACTCTAAAAGTGACTATTGCTTCCTATTTTTCCATTTATTTTTATAAAATTTAAATTTCCAGATTTCCACGCCAAAAAAGACTCATACCGCATCACCGACCATACTCGATCCTCATTGGTTTATTTTTCTGTGAATCACTACTTTCGAGCTATTTTACAACGTCATTGCTAGCCGGTCCCCGAACTGTATATACACAGACGAGCTGTCTGCTTACTTCGCCTTTGACGGTCCAGCTGAATATACAAACTCGTCTGTAGGCCTGTCTTCCTTATTCTCTCTGGTCGGGTTCCGGGGATCGTACTGCTCGTGGGGCGTATTTCCTTCCGGTTCTGTCGGGTCTCGCTTGGGGTACCGCAGTCGGGCGCACCGGGTACCGTTACTATTCCGCTGGGTCGTACGGTTCTGTTCGTGGGTCACTGCTGCCGCACGTATCGTTGTTCATGGCTAGTCCGGTCGTTTCGTCCAACTCAACGTTACAATAATCCCCCAACATTACTTTACTTTAGATTCAACCGGAAGCACACTGGCCGTCAGTGTAGTTTGTAACATAGACTTGGGTATTGTGTCCTCCTGCACCTTTTTCAGGTATTCCCGGGCTTCCCATCTTGTCTGTTAAAGTTGTTGAGGAGATAAATCATTTCGCGGCCAAATCCCAATGTTGTGATCCATTGGCAGTTTTCGAATTCTTCCATACATCAGTCGAAATGGTGTATGTTTGGTGCTGGCGTGCGCGGACGAGCGGTTCGTCAAAAGTAGTGAAGCTAGGGTCGACTCCCAATTTCCTCCTTTCGATGCCAATCATTCTTTGATTGTTCTGTTATTTCGTTCGGTGATGCCGTTGGCCGGGTGATAGGGTGTTGTGCGTGTCTTTTTGATGCTAACTTCTGTAGGCACGTGTGAAATCCACCACTTTCAAAGCATGGACCTTGATCCGTAGGGGTGGCTTGCAGTACACCATGATTCGCCAAGATATGCTTCATCACAACTATGCTTATCACAAAGTCTTTTTGATCTGCGACTCCTACAGCTTTGATCCAGCGCGTGAAATGCTCCGTCAATCCAAAAACGTATCGTACAAGCCTACAGAAGTTAGGCATCAAAAAGACACGTTTCTTACCACGTGACTGCAAATCAACAACACATTAACCGGGAATGCCCGACCTGTGTATGTTTTCAAATTGGATTGGCGGCTAGTAAACTAGGGTAGATTCTTGCTATTCTTAACACAGACGCGTCAATATTGATTTCCGTTTGAACATATTCTACTTCGATTTCAAATTGTATGCGATAAGGTGGTGAACTTGAATAACCATAACTATAACCATGGCAATAGTCACTTAGTCAAATAAGTAGGATTTTGAAGTCCCAACCCGAAGGTTCACGGTTTGAGTCCTGACAGGGACGCAAAACGTACACACTGCTGACGAGTCCCGAATGGGTTAAAACAGCTGTTCAGTGCTCTTTGTCGGCTATCACAAACATTTCCATCGCATTTGAATACAAAACCTCTTGGGGAATTAACGATCTATCTAGGAGTGAAACCCACAACCGAGACCATCAGCAGTGCCTGGTGCCTCTAAAAAATCGAATTTGCTAATCCAAGCTTGATACTCTATATTTACATGTGTGCATCGGAATATAAAGTTCACTTTAGAGAACAAAGTGAGTAAGCAGATTACATTTTTATAAGTTCGAATTATTCGTCGTTCAGACGAAACTATCCAGCGCACCATTCATAGGTAGGCGTCGCGAAATGATCCTTCTATTTCAAAGAGAAACGGAAATGAAACCCGATTGAATGCTTCGCTACTGATGCGCGGAGAATATGTGCAGACGACACAACTGAGCGGGCACTGAGATTCATTCGAGAGGTTTTACTTCATGAAGGGTATCCAGAATAATCCGTTGACAACATTCTGAGGCGTCAGCGGTTGCTAAATGGTCTGAGTACCGTTGGGAAGAAACCGGTTTACATATGATTACTTTTGGCCTCAGCTGCCGAGATGGCGACGCTTTAGCGGAGTGCCACCGTGGATAAAGCATTTCTCGCAGCGAAGCCTCGCATTGGGTTTATCTCCAGAGCATTCTTGAGTGTGTAACGTAAAGATAAATTGCTTGTTTCTGTAGTGTGTGGTTTCTTTCCTGGTCCTGGTGTATTGATCACATAAGCAGACGTTTATCTGAACGAGTTCACGAGATCCGCTCGACCGGGCTGAATAGTGGTGTAATCAGGACCATCGATCGTTTCGCACCTAGTGGATTCAAACCACGCGGTTAATGTGGCTGAAGTGTTTCGACCCCTCTATTTGGTTCACAGTCGTCGATCTAAGAGGATTGGGAGTCACATTCAGGCCAAAGCAGAAGCAGTGGGAATACGTCCACGTACTCCTTCCCCGTACCCACAAAAACAGTGTGCAAGAACACTCGGCCTTCCGTGGCCAACACCACACACGGCACAGTCATTCCCTATCCGCTCCTAACGACCTGAACCAATGCGTATGTGTGATAATTAGACTATCAGCAAAATCCGATCATCAAAATGTAATGCCTAATCATTTTTCTTCACAATTTGTCATAATTTTGATATAAAATGTGATGTTTTAGCGTGGAGCGGAATCACCGCAAACGAGCTTGTTCGCGACTGTCTCTCTTGCAGTGTGTAATGCTATTATATTCGGGTACATATTATATATATATATATATATATATATATATATATATAATAGAAGCCTCATTCAACCGATTTATGAATGAGTTTCTTCGTTTTTCGCATTCGTCAGTACTACCACCACTATTTTAACCGGCCTGGGTCAGTTTTCCAATTTGAAATATTCCAACATACTACAACATGGGATTGATGGTGATACCCTTGACTTAGCCAATGGAAACGTTGCAATAATTATCTGCTTCTTCACTTTCGTATCTTATAAATCCAAAGTGCATGGTTAGAAATTTCGAAAAGAATTGTTCATCAAAGGCGATCCGTACACGGTTCAGCTCATCGCACGGTCTTTTGCTTAATCATCCTCTTTTTTGCCATTAGAATTATACTACTGGCAGTAAACATAATGTTACTGTAAAATGTTTTCGATTTTCGTCCTA